AGGAAGGAAGGAAGGAAGGAAGGAAGGAAGGAAGGAAGGAAGGAAGGAAGGAAGGAAGGAAGGAAGGAAGGAAGAAAACGAAGGCAATGTTCTCATATATACAAAATCACAGGGGGTAGTTTTTGTTCACTTGTTTCAAAAAGTACACTGACGAATATAAACTTTGTTTTTAATTTCGAACACCTCTTTGGGGAAGCACTAAAGTCAGTTTAGAAATGATGCTAGCAGCTGTGAATTATAAACCTACCATTACCCTCCCAAATAACAATAAAAATTTAAAATTATTGAGAGCACTTTATTCATAAAGCTACAAATCAGTAGAACCTCAAATTTTTTGAGGGATAACTATTAGAATAGGAAGAGCTTTCTTTAATTTAATGGGGCGCCTCTAACTTAATGTGCTTTCCCCCCAATTATAAACAGTTCCAGAACCAAATGAGTACACAAGGCATCAAAACTGCTACTTCAAATAAAAGGTTTCCCAATAGCTAGTTGTTATTTGATCTAAAGCCTAACCAAAAAAAGGTAATAAAATAGTAATCTCATACTAAAATAATTTTAGATTTTACTTGAATGGTGGCTATGATTAAAAAATCTAGTCTAACTTACCATAAAATATCTTACAATATTTTAAAGAAACTTCTCCATATTAAAAAATAACAAGTTATATCTTCCCTTGTTTTTCCCAAGTCTCTTAGCAACAGATATATAATCTTTAAAACTAAAATACTAAAAACTTATCATTCCAAATTAAAGCTGCTTACCATGATACCACCATTTTGTTTTCTTTGGATTCTTGTTACATGTTCGCACATAAAAAGAATTATCTGGTGGTCGTCTCTGAAATAAAGAAGAGTTTAAATTGGTAAGAAATGATAAAGTAGTAAAACTAAGAGGGAGATAGTTTTAATAAAAGCTTAAGCAAAATTATTACAGAAAGCATTAAAAAACAACACAAACACTGGTAGTGTAGCTGAAAGAATAAAAACTATAAATATATTCTGGGAAATGTAGGCTCTTGACACCTAAATTTTTTTTTAAAAAAAGGGAATGTGTGTATGGTATGGGTTAGACTCGAGTGGGATCATTAAAGAATGACTATCAATCAAAAATGGCAGCAGTAAGTTGTAAATAATTTTGGTTTCATTTATCGTGTTATCTCCCTAGAAATAATTTAATAATTACTTTTGTGAGCTAATTAAAACAGAAAACTGTACCTAACTAGGTTTGTCTGAAGAACTATAGCAACTTATAAACCTCCATAAAGAAGTATTATTTTGCCATAATCTAGTACCATCAAGAACACACCAGAGGATTCCATTTCTTAACAATATGTAAGAAGAAATAGGAAAAACCATGTATTGGCAGTTCTGCTATACACTGTCTTTTCTGCTATACATATGCCTTGACTAAAACAATATAAAAAACATATGGCAGTTCTGCAAGGGAGCTACATCAGAAACAGTGATGACAACGACTCTGAACACAGATTATGAAAGAGATTTTTCCTGAAAACTGTTGGATACTGACAGACACAAGAAATATGTGACTCTCTACAAAGATTTGAAAACATGTCAAATTTATATTTAAACTACCGATGGAAGGTTTATAGATGGTAGATATCCTCATCCCGTGCTCTCCTTTTTGCTTACTTACAGAACTATTCTCACTGATAATTTGATTATTTTTTTCCTATCCTTGAATATTTTGTGGCGCTTAGACAAGGTATCTTTTCTGACTCAACTATTCAGCAAAGCTAATGAAGATGAGAGATTAAAGGAATCCTTTCCTCTACCTTAGGCTAATCAAAAGAAGTTGATTTGGTAAGACATCATTTAAGGAAGGTCCAACTAGAAAGCAATGGTGAGTAGGACTACCTAGGGAACAGGAAGAAAAATAGTCACTTGGCACTTCTAAAACTCATATACATAACTATCATCTTAGGTGAGCTTCATAATGCCCTTAAGAGTTGATACTAATAGTAATTTCATTTAACAAAACATAACATTAGAGCACAAGACGTTGAACTATCCAAAATCACCCTGTTAATACAATTTGAAAAAAACTCCTGAAAAATTAATATTATGAAATTAGAAGCCTGATTGCTTCAGAGATATTCCTCTATTGTTTGTCCTGCAATGTCAAACCTGTGTACATGTGGAATAATCACTACTACTACAGCAAATAAATTCACAAACTCATCTACATATTGATTTAGAGTCATCAAAAATCATGAAATCATCCCAAGAATCATCAAAAAAACACTCATTTACTTAAGTCAAGAATATAACCAAACCGGTAAGTGATTACAGAGATATGGTTCTTAGAAAAATAAACCAACTATACAAACAGGAAGTATTACCAAATTGTTTTAGTAATGGAAAATAAGCTGGAAGGTTTAGACAATGTTAAGTTTATTATAAGGGCAATGAGAGTAAAGGGTAGATTACTGAACGGTTCCTGGTCTCAATATTAGAAATTATCTTTAATCTGCTGAAATCTACTGACACACTAGATTTAAATGCCTTCAGGTCAGGGAACCATTCCTGACTGTGTAAAAGGAAATTGGAATAAAAGAATAAAGTCCTAAATACCTATAGCGAAAATTAAAATTAACGAGTTAACTACTAAAGTACAGCCCATGGAAGCATGTCTACCACAGAAGAAAATTTACCCGTTTTAACAGCAAAGCTTTTAGGTGGGTATTTAACAGACCTTTTAAAGCTTATTTTACGCTAGATCTGAATGCTGAAACAAGTTTCCTCTTCATCTTTGTAACCTAGCACTTATCACAGTAAAAAATAGTGCATAGGAGGTACCTAATAAATGTTTGTTGAATTTTATCATATTTCACAGAAATTCTGACTGCCAGAATATCTTGGTTTCTGACTTCCAGATTATCTTGGTTAAACGCATTATACAATAATTCTATTAAAAATATAGTTTATCAGGGCTGGCCAATTAGCTAAGCTGGTTACAGTGTGGGGCTGATAAAACCAAAGTCCAGGGTTCAATCCTTGTACTGGCCAGCTCCCACCTCCCCCCAATGTATATAGTTTATCAATAATTTAAATTGAATGACTAGTCTTATACTTAAGTATGTAAGAAACACTAGTAGCAGACAACATATAAGTGAGGGAATAGTGAGGGTTAGAAAAGAATAAAGGATGTATATAAAGAACAGTAATTGTCTAGTTTTTAATAGCAAATCATTACATTTCAATGCAAAAAAAAGCTAATAATCATAAGACGCATGCAAGAGTTATGTGTAAATATCACTGGTGTTCATCTATTAATAGCTTTTCTTATTAAATCCTGTAGTTACTACCTCACCTTTCTAGAGTCATTAAGCATAAGAGGAATGTAGAAGCCTTTGTAACTGTAAATTGGTCTCCCCTATACATAAAAGTTTGAAACTATGGGTGTGTTGGGGTAGGTGAGAGGAGAAAATATGGAAGCAATGAATGAGACTTGTTTCCAAAGCCGTTGGGGTCAACAAAAGCTCAATTACAGCTTTAAAATGCAGCTTAGAAAAACCAAAAGCAAAGGGAAACTGAAGTTAAAAAGTGATATTAACATTAAATATATGTACCCTATTTCATCTAAGATGTACATTTTTTCTGTACATTTTAATATTCCTGAATAGGGATGTGTGGCTTATAATTAATGGTATGTCATAGTTTAATTGCTAGAAGATTCTTCTTTCTTAAATGGTACATAAAATTGCATATTAAGGATTCTTAATCCTACAACTTAAAAAAATATAACTTAACCAATTATTTCCCATGCTTATTTGGACAAAATCTGTTTTGCTTGTTTTTTAAATCTAACACTAAGAAACATCTTATGGAAGTAACATTCCAAGAAACTCAGTTTGTGAGACAGTGGCTTAGAGTGTTAGACTCTAAATAAGCTATCATTTTAATATGAACTACTATCTTAAAAGTTCTCTAGGGTTGGCTGGTTAGCTCAGTTGGTTAGAGCATGGTATTAGGTTAAGGTCAAGGTTCAGATACCCATAACGGCCAGCTGCCAGAAAAAAAAAGTTCCCTAAATATGAATTTAATAAAGATGGCAGCCATTTCAATTTGGAGAACAGTGAAAAAAACTGCTAAACACACATACATACACACACACAGAGCTCCCTAATTTCTAGGGCATTTTGTTCCTCCTTTAAGCAGAATACAAAAGGAAACTCTTATGGAGAAGAGAGTCTTTAAAATACAGAAACATATGAATATAGTACTATACTAACCCTCAAAGAGAAATGTCAAGAGGGCCAGAAATGCAGAGATACAGATACCTTTTAAAGGGTATCCTAAATTTAACTCGTGATAAATTGGTCCTCCTATTCCAACCTAATCAGAAGCAGAGCTTCCTGGGAAATCTCCTAAAAGAGGCTGATAAGGTGGGAACTGGCAAAGCGTAGAAGGGATGTATGATGCTTGTTTCTGGGGCTTTCCATTGTGAAACCTAGAAGTAAGAACTTCTTGTACACTTTTGCCCCGTGTATTCTTATGGAAATAAAATTCAGATTACTTGAGAACGTGTACAAATTTCCTGTTTAAAAAATATAAAACAGTAAGTCTGACTTCTAGCCAATTTAACATTTAAAACTTCTATTTGGAATGAAAAAATATCAAAATTTTCTAGTTTATTACTAAACATGACATTCCCTACAATTTAAAAATAAAAAGCATTAAGTTCTTCCTTTAAATAAAAAAAAATTTTATGATAAAATTATTTACCTAAACTGAAAGAAGAGATATTACCTGGAATGATTCTGAAAAGTCCTACCTTTTCTTTGCAGCTGGAAAGCATGCTAATAATGCTAAGACAAACTGATTGGACTGAGAGCGCTGGGGACCAGTCTTCTGTTAGAATGGATAAACAGATATGACCATTGCTATAAACATGAGGATGAACAGGAATATTTTCACCAGTAAACATGACCTAAGAAAGAATAAAATTCCATTAACACTCAAATATTCTCTATTACCAAAAACTAAAATATTCTCCACATTTAATAAGTATTGATTTTTTAAAAAACAAAATAAAAACAAACCAAAATCAGTGCCAGGAACAAGATAAACAAGTATTTATTTGTCTATTTTCATTAACTCAGTAAATATCAGTTTCACTGAATGAATGAATAACCACGTAGTAGGGGGAAAAACTTCGATTGTCTTATATTTCAGTTACTTCTCATAAATTACCTTTAAAATTTATAAATTACTATGTATTTTTTCCACTAGCGAAAGACAGCCGCACTTATAAAAATAGTTTTTTCAAATTCTACTCTTTGCTCTCTGCATATAAAAATCAAATACACTAAAATTCCAAAGTTATTGAATATTGAGATAATATGAATTACATAAGGTAGCAACCCCTTATCACCTGTAGCAATGCTAGCACCTGAGATGCTATATGCACAGGGGAATAACTACCACATATTCCATCTCCTTTAAACTTACACATCCATTATGATGGGCACAAATTATTAGCTATTAATCAGCAAATAACTATAAGTGCCTAGACAAAAAACAAAGGTTGACTGAGATTCTCCCAATTACTTGCTGTTTTTCTCTGCCTTTCCTTTTACTCAATTCTTCTAACACTGTTTTTCCTTTCTCCATCTTGCCTCAGCACTGTTTTGAATGGTAATAAGTCTATCATTTCCTTTCTTTGCCCTAATAATTAAAAAAATACCCTAACATTAGTGTTTCTTAAACTTATCTACCTAATCATCTGAACAGGCACGATAATAAATTCATAAACCCTGAGGAATCTGTAAACACAGTCCAGAGAGAAGTCTCAAGGAAAGCAGAGGTCAAATGTTTAAGAATGTTTATATAAATATGCTTACTCCAGAATAATTTATTTTTTTACACAAAAAACGTAACTGACTTAACCCACCAATTTTTACTTAATCTGTAGTTTAGCAGGTATTCCTAATTCCTGACCTCACCATAAAAAAAAAAAAAAAAATCACCTGAGGAGCCGGTTGAAAATATAAATTCAGGAGTCCTACTTTTACAGATTCTGATTCATTGCTTATGATGAGATTTTTATAAAGCTCATCAGATATTAATTAATAGTTCCCAAACCAGACTTACAGTACCTCTCTCAGCTCTGCAAACTGCCTCCTATCTGAGTATAGCAGAATACCAGTAAGGAAAAATCCTGCCTTAAGTTATAACATAAACTGATGAAATATATACATTGCTCTACGCATACTCATTTTTCTTTTTATAGAGCAGAAAAGAGAGCCAGTGAAATACGTATGGTCAGAGTAAGGTATGCCATAGTTAAATATGGATTATGTTATGAGAAAGTACCATAAGCTAATATTTTGTAGATATTTTAAATATCTAGCTACAAATCTGACTTTGCTAACATTTTACAAATATTTACATTTCAACAAAGCCGTCTTTTACACAAGTAGGAGTCCTCTAATACTTCAAATATACTAACATATGGAACTCATTTTCTTGGCTGAAACTAATATAAGGCAGCAAAAGGAATTTTTTCCCCAAAGGAATGATTTTCCATACTTGCATATATTTCTTTTCTATTTTTTTTCTTTAATTTCTGACCATCCACCCTCCATTCCCACTAAAAAAAAAAAAAAAAAAAAGCTAAAATAAAGCTGAAAAATAAAAGTGTCAAAATAAGAGAAATCAAGTTACCTGTCCTAACCAATCATAGAAGACCCACTAAAAGGACTTTTGACTTTGGAACAGGCATTCTAAGTATGTCACTTATCTAAATTACATCTATCAGTGCTAGTGCCCTTTACATCACTTTTTGCTTAAAAAGAAAGTGCTGCTCTGAAAAAGGAAATAAGTACTTAAATAAATGGTCTTGAAGTTCCACATTTTGAGTCTATCCACATTGTTTTTTAATGAAGTTTAATTTTTTATATACGTGAACTATATTATATCGATGCACTTGATTTCCTCACAATGTGTTATATATGTCTAGAATGGGAATTTACAAGTTTCACAGAATATGCATCTGCTTTGGAGTATTCATTTTGCCACAAAAAGTCATTTGACCAGTAGGATATTTTCATTAAGAATACAAACAATGCCCAAGAGTTTAGTCCCTGGCCACAATTGTTTTTTAAAGGATATTTTTTTCCAGCAAGGTCAAATAGATTAGTGCTCTGAAAGTGCCAAAAAGTGAAGAATTGCCAAGTTATCTTCCTTGGCAAAAAAGGGTATCAGCAACCATCAAGGAAAATACAGACAGCCAGATACAAAGGTTATCACGACATGCTTTGTCTAGCCAATCTACAAAGTAGAAGGAAAGCAGTATTCTTCTTGGAGAGAAATGGTTATAAACTAAATCACTTGGCCTGAGAGCCAAGATGTACACATGAACTGAAAGGAAATCAGGAATGAATAGAAAGAAAAGAGATGTGTGGCAGTAGAAGACATTTCCAGCAGAAGCAGCAAACATTCTATAAGCAGAGAAGAGAACCAGAAATCAGAAGACAGAAACAGCTCTGAAGGTGGAGGGGACTGAAATAAAAATAAATCAGATCTCAAAGCCCTTAAATAAAAAAGCAGGGGCTTTTAAACATGCTGCATGCAGGGCAAAGGCAGCCAGTCTGAAACTTTTAGCAACCAAAAACAGGGGAATTCATTATTTGCACATATTACAGATAACCCCTAGGGCCTAACCTGCCAGATACAGAATTTTAGAAGTTTGTCTAAACATGGAAAGGCTGAGTTTAACATGCCAGAGGTGAATTCCTGAAATAAAAGAAAAAAATTTTTTCAACAGTTTATTCACATAAAAGGCTGCTAAGCACAGTTTCCAGTTAGTTCTAATGTAAACTTTGCTACTCTGGTTCTCTGCATGTTATGGAAAGAGTAATTTAGGCAATGTTTCTTCAAGCACATAGTGTTACCCATCCTCATTTATTTAAAACTCAGTACAAGACAAAGGAGGAAATGCACATTTCAGTATTTTTAATGCAGCCAAATAAGTTCTGAAAGCTCAAGAGATTACTGTTTCTAAAGTTAGAACAAAAACAAAAACAAAAAAACTGGAGTCCCGAGTAGCTGATAAAACTATCTAGAACTGATGAGACAAGACGACAAAAAACAATGTATTTGAGACCACAGGAACTTTACTAACTTATTCAGATTGAAACTAGTTATATAGATTAAAAAGTTAACAACTGGAGACTATATACATTCCCCATTGCATAAACCACAGTTAGATGGAATCATAAAATTCTGAACAAGATATTTGATGGCAATAAAGCTACAATTTTAGAAAAGAATCTTAGACCTAATACACATGAATTATGTTTGAAGTTCTGAGTCTACATTACAAAGCAGTCCTCAGACGTCTAAATTTTCAAACATCTCCCTGTCAGTCTGGCTCATTTTCAAGAGCAGGTGAGAGCTAAGAGAGAACTATGTTCAGGATACCTTTAACTTTGGAGGTAAGTATGCATACCCCACATCCAAGCAAAATTTTAAGCAGGCCAACCTCTGGGTAACTTTTGGGTACTGTTTCTGTAATGTCTTTCATAAAACTACTAAAATCTAAAATCTAAAAGCCACCATGTGATAAAAACCTAGAAAAAGAATGAATACCACTCAAATTTAATATAGTCTGAGAACAGTTCAATCTGATTGTTACCAACACTTACATTAATTGAATGAAAACTGATCAATAATTGAAACTAGACCTGTAATTGTACACTTCTATACGTTCACATAGTTTACTAAAACCTCTGCATTATTTTTAAGAACAAAATAAAGGATGACAATTAGGTAACTTTCTAACAAGAAATTCAAGAATTTCTAAACTTCAGGCTTGATATTGAAAGACCTCAGAATACTGATTATCTTACCACAAAGAAGGCACACTACTGTGTTCAGACTAGTGGTCCAGAGACAGAAAGTCAGTCACTAAATATGGTGTCGAGCAGGGTCAGAACACAGTATACGCACAAGGAACAGTACAAAACAGGTTATAATTATAAAAGCCAATCTACGATATGGATACCACAGTCTCTCACGGGACAATATGACGAAACATTTTCTCTGGTTAAAATTATAAGTAAAGGTTGGCCAGTTAGCTCAGATGGTTAGAGTGTGGTGCTCACTGATAACACCAAGATCAAGGGTTCAGATCCCCGTACTGGCCAGCCAAAAAATAAAATAAAATAAAATAAAACTATAAGCAGATGACAGTACCTAATGAGCAACTACAAAAACTGAACATACAAGCAGAGGGTTTATTGTTCTAATAAAAATGAAATCAGATATCTACTTATGTATAATATATGATATACACAGTCTAGCATAAGTGGTAAATATTTGACAAAAATGACCAGGGGTTGGAATTTTTAAAAAGTTTTCAATTCAATTTTCCCCTTGTAGTCCTCTACTATGTATCAGCAGCATCAATATTAGTAGTTTTCCTTGGTACTCCATAATTACCACTATGTTGCAGCTATATATGTAGTGCAAAGACAAAATTCTTTTTGTTTTTTATTTTGGCAGCTGACTGGTACAGGGATCGAACCCTGTGTCGGGTCCTCTGCCGGCCGACCCAAACAGCCCTAGCCTCGTTCCTTTTGGTGGGCGAGCGAATGGCCCAGATTTCTCTTTCCCTCCGGTCCCTGTTGGGAGGAGATGGGGGAAGAGAGCCGTGAAGAGAGGTGAGCACAGCTGCCGGCCCCAACCAGCCCGTTAAAGGACACTCAGACGTTTTGGGGTTCTGTCGAGCAGTTCTGTTTATTATCACACAAGCACTTGCTTTTAAAGGCAAATGGGGAAGGGAAGTTTTTTACATCCTCCAATCAGCTTAAACGTTACGAGAGCATGCACCCTGTCTCAATGCCTAGCTATTGCAATCACGCAGTGTTCATAAGCGCGGAAGCGCGTATTTGGCCAATAAGGGATGAGGCAAGGTTCCTGCAGACA